TAGTCGAGAAGACACCAGCTGCATGTGTGTATGAGCAGCAATAGGAAAAAGATATTCCTCTGTAACTACAGCAAATGCTACAGCTGGTCTATTGTTTGCTCACATCATTGTCCACAGCCCATTTCAATTAGCCGCTTGCAGTCTCCACTCCATTGACTTGTGTCTTTGGCACCTGTAGATTCTATTTGACCACCTACTCATTTCCAGCATTTTCTGTATTTTCCAATTTCCAGCTTCCATAACTTCTCGTTATTAGCTCGCTAGCAGAGTTTGCTCACCTCTGTGTTTCTATAGCCTCGATTAACACGCTTGCGCTATCTCTTTCTCTCCACCTGTATCATGTTTGTGCATTCTTTTAAACCCCCTTCTGGCGTTGTATTTGACCTGCTCTATTTTCAATTGAGTGAATTGATGCAGCAGTGAATACATTTGACAGAAATCCAACCTTTTCTTCTACTGCGTGAGGGAGAGTGTATGTTTTTCAATCTCCAGGTATGCGTAATGCTTGTCACTGTGTTGATGTTTACTGCGTCTGAGATCAGAGTTGTACTATTTCTCTCTGATGGGGAAGGGGGGTGGAGCGGTAAGAAACAGTGTTGGTTGTATCACAACTTGTTTGACTTTCTTTGGTGAAACAGTTCAGTGATCTACTATACCTCTTATCTTCCCCCCCACCACACCCTACAGTTTCAACTCCCAAATAAACAAAATAAGAAACCAGGGCCAGCTCAAAAAAGTTCAGATAAATGTTTCCTTTACTAATCTTCCATAAACGGTAGAAGCAGAAAGTATCTATTCATTCAAATACAAATTAGATAGATTTATTTTAGAAAGTAATATGAAACATGACATGTACTGCATGTAGTATGCTTGGAAGAACCAGGCAACTTTGTATCTTAGGTTCCCCAAGCTTTCCACTCGGTTGTAATAACAATAACAATAATAATAATCCTTGCATTTGATGTAGCGCCTATCATGTTTTCAAGATGTCTCAAAGCTAATAATTAATTATAATAATTAATTGTAGACTAATCTATACAGAATTAATTGCTATCAACATTTCCATTGTAGCAAGTGACTACCATGATGGTAGAAGACGAACTAGATGGATCCAGGCCTTTTATCGTCCAGAAATTCCTATGTTCCTAGAGGAATATCCATTGGCACGGAAATCATGTAGCAATGAGACTTGTTGTATTGGCACACCAGGGAAATGCCAAGTATGAAACCTGGTTTTAATACATTTGGAGCCAGAAATGAGAATCAGCCCCTTTTCACCTGCTAGAACAGCATTTGTCCAATTCTATTCAAGAAATTTAGTGACCAATAATGCATGTTAGCGCAAGTGCTAATGTGGCAGATTACAGCAATTATATACTCGCAGTATTTTGTTTGGTTTTAAAGAAACACAATCCCCCAGATTCACCTCTTTGGCTGTTTGTGGATCTTTATTGTGAACAATTTGGTTGTCATGTTTCTACAAAAAAGGCATCCCTTCACTTGACAGTAGTTTCCTTTTGCAAAACATAGTTCGCATATTAAATACTGTCTGAATGCAAGATCTTTCTTGTGCATTTATTATAATCCTTTCATTTGATAATAATCTTGAGATTTACTTCACTGAGATATCTCCAAGTGCTTCACCAAGATTTACTGTGAAGTGTAGTGACTGTTTTGAAAAGCTGTCTGAAATGCAGTCCTCTGTCCAGCACCTTGGGACGTCCTCCCGACATGAAAAGCGGTATACAAACGTAATCTTGTTGTTTTGTAGCTGAAAGCAGCAGACATGAAGTGAACGACCAACGAATTCCACTGCACAGCTGCCTGAAGTAAAGCTTACCCGAAGAAGAATTAAGTTTTTTTCCGTTAATACATTTAAACTATCTGTATCCACAGGTGACAAACTGGAAAAGTCCCTAAAAGTGAGTCACACTACTCAAACCCAACTCCTTTGTGGGGTATATTTCAAGAACAACGATCAAACTTCACAAAGTAAGTGCTGATTGGAATGTGGCTCAGCTATCCTATGTTCTTGTGCAAAAAGTAAATAGCTGATGAATTCTGTAGTTGATGTAATGCGGACAGTGGCCGTCAGGGGTTGCTGTTTATACTGAAATATTGCAAAGCTATTTGTCCAATGTACATCAAGAGGAGCTCTCAAGCCTTTCACATCGATCCTTCAATTTAAACACCTGCGTAGTTCAAATCATTGCGAAAGTGCAAACTTGCACCCCCACAAATCAATGCATCATGATCTGAATCACTTATAATGACAGGACGTTAAGGTGAATTCTCCACTTTATTTTTTTGGGTGGCTGGTGGGGGGGGGGCGACGACTTTCACAACCAGAACGTTTCCTTGATTTGATTTCGCAAAATAACTACATTGACTGCATCAATAACTTGGTACCCGCTTGTGTGTGTGTGTGTTTTTTTGGTACCAAGCATTTATTCATGTTCGGTAAATTCTGTCCATTGGAACCTGCAAATCGTATAAAAAACATGACTGTAATTTCGCGTTGAAGTTACTGTCCAGCTGAACGTGAAGTAAATTAACAGAGCAATTAATTTACCATTGACCACGTCAAGGTAGAAGACGATTGTGTCGTGATGGTCGGAAATGATAGGTTGCTCTGCATTGTAAATTATTTTAAGTTGTACATTTATTTCAGTGTCATTTCAGAACACATGACCCTTTCAGTCCAGTAAGATAATTATTATTCCAATGAGTAGTGTATTGGAATATTCCAATAATTGTTCCAGTAATTATTCACCCTTTATTTTAATACCTTCACAAGTGCTTCATTGTTGCGAGAGAACTTTAGACCTGGAGAACTTTTCATTCCCTGAGATAAGTGGAGTTTCACCGTGAACGAGTCCAGTCACAGTATTTGGAAACTCATTTGGAAATGGGAATGGGTGTCTTACAGCTGTCAACGCATCTGGGACTTAATTCCGAGTTCGAAAGCAAAAAAAAAAATACAGGGACAAAACAAGTTGTCATAGGAATGATTAACACGGAAATGTATATCGTTGTCACTTTAGACCTGTTTTGTTCTGAGTCCACGCGAATTTTTGATGAATGGCAGTGATTAATTGTCCTGCAAGTGATATCACCGCGGTGGGGTGTCGCTGGAGACATGAGATTAGCTCTCACGGAAGAATCTGACATCGTTAAACGTATTCCCTGAACCTTCAGAAGATTGTGAAATACATTCCTTTCCAAGAGGACTTAATAAGCAAGTTTTCCCAAACTGGGTGCAACTTGGCCAGACACCTGTCGGGTGGCAATGCTGGAACCTGAGCACCGACCAGGAGGTTTCCAGGAACTAATTGGTTTATGCACTGGAACTAACCGATCGTTTCTCTTTTTTTCTCTCTGCATCGGGTCACTCGTGATCTAACTGCCCATTTCCTTTGACATCCATCAGGGTAAGTGACCCAATCTTACAACAAGTGTTGTGTTGTGCCGGATGATAAAGTGTTCCTTGTGGCGCAGTGTCCTTTATCGCCACCGCCACACACTCCCTTGAGGACATTAATAGGGACACAGTTGCGGGTTTCCTCAGCGCCTCTTTATTTCCAGCCCTTTAAATTCGTGTCTCTCCTTCGGATTCTGGCGCAGCGTTTAAGTACTTTCCAAAACTCGCCAGAAAATGCCCCTTTGAGAAAGTGGGACGGAGGGAAAAACCTGCATTGTTTTCGCGGCGAAGTAGTCAACAGTGTGATTATATATTGCACATCATTTTTTAAAAACAAAACAGAGGTATTTGGGAAAGGGTACCGAACGTGAAATTAATGTATAGGGGGAAAAAAGCCTTTCAAACGTACAGTATATTCCGCAAAAACATTTATGTGCAAACAAAAAAAAAGCTCTGCGGATTCCATTGCACACGTGCAATTACTGTGTTATTGGGTCACGGTGGTGGATTATTGCTGTTGGGTGTGCATTACTGTGTATTTTATTATTATTATTATTAATGTGTTAGTAGTATTGTTGCTGTTGTTGTGTTATTGTGATCCCTGTGGTTTCGGGGTGGGCGATGGGAGGCCAGAGATGAGCAGTGAGAAGATAAGAAAAAAAACAGATGAACTGAACTGTGCCACTAAAATGCCCATCACCGCGTCACCCGAGAGAAAGACGAGACCAAGTGTCCTCCTTTATTTTGTAATATGAGTCTTAACCCCGTGCCAGGGCTGAGGGGGGGGCGGGGGGAGAGGAGGGGGGGGAGAGGGCACTTAGAAAACACGCACACGCACACCACACGGCGTGTCAGTCTGGCTTTCCCCCCCCTCTCTCTCTCTCTCTCTCTCTCGTGTTTAACCACGCCTATATTATTATTATTATTTTTTATCTACAGTACCTGTAAACGCCTTTCGGGAGGGAGCCTTGTGGCAGAGCCGATGTGACAGGGAGTCGATGTGTCTGTCTGTCTGTCTGTCTCTCAGACGGGGACTGAAGCGAGGAAGGAGCAACGCAAAAGCTGGTGGTGAGAGAGCCACCGCCTCCCGAACACAGAGCTGACAGCCTCCTCTGTGTGTGTGTGTCTGTGTGTCTCTCTCCCCCTCTCCCCCTCCCTCTCACCGCCTGTCTGGCCGTCAGGAAACCTCTCGCAGGTTGGTTGGAAGAGCAAAAAGCAAGAGAAGGGACACACACATCGCCAGCAAAACAAAACTATATCTTTTCCCTTTCCGAACAGCAATTGAGAGAGAGAGAAGGAAGGAAAGAAGGAGCAATTTCCTGGCACTGACAGCCCTTTCCGACAGAGCTGATGCGGTGACTGTGACTGAACCGAATTTTGCTTTGAGGATTAATTCATCTTTGCGTCACTTGTTATTTTGATAGAAATCCGAGGGCAGTGAAGAGGAGAGGCAGAGACTGAACTGACTGACTGACTGACTGGGAACCATAACCTCCCACTCACTCCATCCATCCATGTAGATTTATTTTTTTTCCCCAATTGAGATTTATTTTCCTCTCTCTCTCTCTCTCTGTGTGTGTGTGTGTGTCTGTCTCTCTCTCTCTCTCTCTCTATCCCTCCTCCTTCCTCCCCGTTATATTTCGCCTTCCTTCAGCAACAATGGCTGTTGGATGGACTGAGGGGCTGTGCCTCAGACCCTGTGCCGTGTCTCGATGTTAGCTATGGCCGATGGAAACGCGTCGTCAAGCGGTGAATCTGCTCTGGCCGTGCGCTTCTTCAACATGGACCCCGTCATTATTCCCTTCGACCCCGACGCGCTCTGCGAGAGCAAAGAGCAGCGCATGTGGTGGGCTTTCCTCGCCTCTTCCATGGTCACCTTCTTCGGGGGGCTCTTCATCATCCTCCTCTGGAGGACCTTCAATTACCTGTGGACCGTCTGCTGCCACTGCAACCCCAAGAACAAGGTAAGAGCCGCTCCTGGAGCCAATCGAGTACCATCTCCTTCCTCCCCCCCCTCTCTCCCCCTCTCTCCCTCCCGACAAAAGCTGTCGGAATATTGAAGCAGTTACATGTATTTAACGGTTGATTCCTTTGACGCAAACGGGGCCGAGGGGAACTATCGTTCCCAACACGTCTGGGTTGACAGCTGGCATCAGGCATCAGTATTCTTTATTTTTGTGTGTCTGTGTGTGTGTGTGTGTGGGGATGGAATCAATCGAGAGGCTCTTTTGCCCACACTCTCCTCGATGTGCAGATGGTTATAGAGCTGATTTCTGTTTCCCGGGTTTCCTGTTGTACATTATCTGTAATTTAACAGGTTGCAGAGATGTCGCCTTTCCCCCACTTAACACTGGATCCTGTTTACAAGCAGAGAGAGAGAGAGAGAGAGAGGGGGGAATACTACCATCACCCGCTAGGAGTCGGGGACCACACACACACACACACAAAAACAGAAACCTGATATTTGCAATGAAACTCACTGCATTTTGGGGGAATCGCCCGTATTGTTTCTGATCCGTTTTGTTTCATGGTTCAACCCCGACAGTGTTGGTGAAGAGGGTTTATTCGGTGTTTGACGCACGAGCCCGTGACTGTGTTCAGCAGATCGGAGCTCACCTCCCGTCAAAGTTACTGCTCGGGGAGCGACTCACTGCCACAGCAGGTCCTGGAGATTTAAAGTGCAAAGTGACAGATGGAAAACGCGGAGTCGCGTTAAAATGCGACCAAACGCTCGTCAAACCGTGTCACTTCTTTCCCTGATTTATAATGAAGCTCTCGCTGGATGGAGGGGGTGATGGAGGGGGTGGGGGGGGTGGATGGGGGGGGGGGATGGACGAGGGTCTGGGGTGTGATGATGGATCGTGCTGTGTCGGCTGTTGCTAATTCTGTAAGTCGGGCGAGCGAGAGAAACCTACCAAAATAGACCATGGAAATCGCCCCGAAGAAACCTCACACCGTCTGAGTGGCAACGCTGGTGTCGAGCGGTTTACAGTCTCTCCGACGCGCGGTCCTATTTGCAATGTGTGGTGGGGTGGGGGGTGGGGGTGGGGGGGGTGGGGGGTTTCTCTCTCTTTTGCCCCTGTTACCTGTGAATGAAACCGACCGTTTTGGAGTTGTCCGCCTTGTTCTGTGCTATGACGCGATTAGGGTTTCTGCAATGCAGTTTAGGAGATTGAACAGTGATCGAGTTTGTAGGTATAACAGACGCCATCGTCAGGTTCGTTGCATTTCAGGAAACCTCAGTCTCTCGTTTGTCGCCACTTAAGGCAGGACTGACACTCAGCCCAGACTGAGCGTGTGCAGCAGCTCTGTGTGAGGTGCTGAACGATGGGCTGGTTTTATTGCCAGGTTAGGGCACACGACCATTTATTTCAAAGGGTAGAGCCTCACGTTTTTATTTTGTTCTGCCTATTTTGTTTTTAAAAAAAAGGAAAACGGATATTTGCCAAAACGAGCTATTGCTTGATAATATTAATAATAGTCTATTCAATTGACATCGTGTCTTATCGCGTCATTGAGACGTCTCAAAGCACATCACAGAATATACCGTAAAGTGAATTGGTTACGTATTTTGTGGACGAAATGCAGCAGCCAAGATGTAGAATGAAAGAGCTATCCCTACATGCAGCAGATAATAAAAACTTGTTCTCATTCTTCCAGAGAATGCACTGTATTTGAGATTTGCTTTGTTGATTTACATGCTGCCCTCTTTAAATCTGGTCAACGGGTCTAACCTCCATAATTATTCTGGGTCTGGTGCAGTGACAGACAGAGATATGACAGTAAGCTGATTGAGTTAGTTCCTGAGCCACTTACTGTTGGGTTCAGAGGTCAGGCTACCAGCTGATGGAGTAGTGCAGCTGCATCTCCCTGATCTTGAGCCACTCCGACACTGGCAGAGTTGACACTGATCAGGAGAGCTCTATCCGTTCTTATGATTCGGGGGGAGGGGAAGTGAATGTATGTGCTAAAATGATGCATTCGTACAATAAACCTTTGGATTGATTTCTTTATTCCTTCTCCTGGGATACAGGACTCCTGGGAGTCCTCTCAGGTATTGGTTAGAGCACTCGCGTCACAAGTGAGAGGACTCGGGTTTGATTCCAGGCCAATTTTGGCACCACTGCTTGCTACTGTCTCAGCTGAGTTGGAGAGTGGTTATGTGGGTCAAGTACCTGAAGAGGTAGAGCAAGTAAAGACAAAAATGGACAAGGGGGAAGTTAAAGTTAAACAACTCATTATTTATTTATTTCATTATCAACATGGCACAAACATTCTGAGATTACGACAAACTCAGTGTCAAATTTCGCAGAGATTAATATTCTGTATGTCTAATATTTTCAAATTAATTTATATTGTGACCAAAATTCAAATTCCCTGCCTCCTTGTTGCCACTTAATGCAATTTCCTGTTCTATCCCACTAATTAAAAGCCCTGAAATCACTATTTTTTAAAAGCAAAGTATATTGTAAGAACATGTCTTTGAACTCTCAGTCCAGGCTGATACTCTAACACAGTCCTGTGGGTATGCTGCAATGTTGGAAGTGCCGTCCTTTGACCGAGCCCTTCTCTGACTGTTCAGGTGGACATTAAAGATCCCATGACATTTCTTGAAAAGAAAGGGATGTTTCTCCCATTGTCCTGCCCAACAATCTCCAACCTAAATTGATCATTCAGTTCAAGGCTGTTTGTGGGAATTTACTGTGCTCAAATTAACTGGTGTGCCCCCCTATAAAATTTTCCCTCCACCCCCACAATAAAACTTGTCAAGTGTTTTGAGACATTTTGACAATGTTAAATGGTGCTGAATTTTGGCAACAATGATTATTCTTGGCAAGCAGGGTCCTAATATGGTTTTTTTGTACTTTCAATTATTCTTCAGCTGCATTTGTTTTGCTCTTTATTGTATCTATGGTACGTGGCATAAGTGATGGAGAGCAAGAGTGCTTTTTAGGTAACTAAAAACCTGATTATTGGGGACTGAGGGGTGGGAGGGGTGTGGTGAAGGGGAGTTCTGCTGTGGTGATCTGTGTTAACAGGTTCTGGTACTTTTTTTATATAGTTCTGTGTTCCTGCATTGAGTGTCAGGATACATAGACTGAGAGTGCAGTGTTTTTACTAAGATGCATGTGTCACAGCAATAGTTTCAGTTGATACCTGCTTTTATTATGACTGGGCAACATTTAACATTGGCCTGATTAGATTGGGTGGTGTTTGAATCCAGAGGAATTTCAAGGGGGAACACCCAAGAGGGTGTAGTTTCAACGTCAGATGGATAATTTATTGAATTGCACCACAACGCCTTTTGTAAAAAGAACCCTGTTCTTTCGAGAAGATGGGGAAGGACTAACAATCGTGACTCCTTTATTGACATATTTAATTTCCATATTACCAACAAGTTTCTCTTTTCAATACAAGTTATGTACAGCATTTTATTGGGATACTGCGCTTTGTAGTATATTGAATAATTGATATTTTTAATTCTAGATAATTGTGTTCTTTACAGGGTAATTAAAAATAAGCATGTTAATCTGAAGAATGAAACCACATCGGTTGACTCTTTCACTTGGCCTGCTTTTCCCAGGAGAGTCCATTTAGTTATCATTTAGTTGATTTCAGGGGCTGTTCAGGGTTCTAACTTGTTTTGATAGCTTGCCAAAAGTAGTGCTCAGTTTGTTTTCGTGCTGGTGATCTTATTGCTGCAGATGAGCTGCGCAAGGTGGATGCCCAGCTATGTATTTGGGTATCCTCAATTTGGCCTCACTGCTCCCAGCCGAGTTTGAATGTGCAATTTTGTAGCGAACCTTTGGAGTTGAATAAGGACAAACAATGTTCAGTAATATAAATGTGCGTATAGGTAAATGTGCTTAACAAATCAACAGCATCTGGTGCTTTCATGTAATAAGTACCCTATTTATTCTAGTGCAGCTACTCAGGTGCAAAATGGAATCAGTATCGAGTTTCCTGCCAATTAGCAGCAGATTAATAATGAATCTATCATGAGGACGTCATAAACTGCTGTCTTCTTTGTTGTGAATATCATGAATTAAAGACTTGATGTACTTTGGGGAACTTTTGGCATCCAGCTCCACACTGAAGTAAAGTTCTACTGGATGAAAAATACAACAGAACACACCTCTGTGTAGATTTAAATATTTATGGGAAAAAACAGAGATTGAAGGCTATAATTAAATGGACTGCTCATAATTTTGCTCTGATGGGTTATGCTGTTACCTGAATGCTGCTATAAAATATCCTTGACGCTTGTCTCAGTATCCATCATCTACGAGCTGAGAAAATTAGCATTTAGGCATAATTTGAGGAGTCCATGAAGTAATTATGGGTGTTCATTAATGCTTGTCATAGACAATTACTGTGTGCGATATCTGTCTGGATGAAGCAGAAAAATAAATTAATGTTTTGCCTTTAGAGGTTCATGATGAATGATATCCCAAGCTCTACCATCCATTAGCTCCAGTTTAAACACAACTTCACTGCCTGCATCCTTGGCCGCACAAATCTACATGCTCAGCACCCCAATGCTTGCCAAACTCTATCATCTCGATTGATTTTGAGGTCTCATTCACACCCTAACTCCTCATCTTTCTGATCTTCTCCTACCTCACTCCCCTACTCACCCTCTCCACTCAGTAAATGGGTTTGCTGTGTGTCGCTCCTTCTTCGTGTCACTATCGACGGCTGAGCCTTCGGATTATACAGCCCTGACTTCAGTCTTGCCCTACCTCTCCTCTGACTTGCCGTCCCCCTCTCACCCTCCCTCTTCTTCCATCTGGCTCACCCTCTTTCCACCTGTCCTTATGTCCCACCTTTTTTTAAAAAAGCTACTTCTTTCACTAAGACTAAGGAAACCTCCCCTTTAACTCCTTCTCCCGACCGCCACATATAAGAACATAAGAAATGCTAGACAAAAAAAGACCAAGGTCCATCTAGTTTATCTTCCATC